CCGCAGACCAGCAGCATCAGCATCACCTGGCAGCTTGTCAGAAGTGCAGAATCCCAGGCTCTCTTTCCCAAACCTGCTGACATAATAATCCCCAGGTGATTCCTGTTCAAGTTTGAGAAGCTCTGCTGTAGCTCACTTAACTTAACTGAGTCTCACTTTCCTGGTCTGCAAAATGGAGATAATAAGGATCAACTCCAGAATGTTATATGGAGTTACTAAAATTGTTTGTGATATGCTTGGCACAGAGCTGGACCATTGAGTGTGAGCTCAAAACAATCATTTCCTCCCTTTTTATCAGCACTACTTGCTTTTGAATAGTATTATTACACAATCTGTTCTCAATATCTTTTTTTTTTTGCTTGTATACTTCAAAAGGGCTTTAAGCTCTCTGATCTTTCTTCCTTCTCTCTCTTCAAATCTAAGTCACATAAAAAGTTACAAAATCCATGAGATTGGTGGGACCTATGAGATCTCCTGTTCAACCTCCCCTTTGAAGACAGAAATGCCATTTTTAGGCCTGATTTACTCATTATTTATGTTATCATTCAAGTGTTATCTTTCAGGTGCCAGAGAGATATCAGGTACTCAATAGATACTTGCTGGTTGCTGGATGAGTTAATGAATGAAGCTCTATTAATTCTGGCCCATTCTCTTCTTTGTCTACACCTCACTACATCCTCATGACTTTTTCAGTCCTTTCATTTCTTCATCTTAAAAAAACTAGTTTATCTCATATTTCACCTTGACTACTTTCTAACCTACCCCAGACACCTAAGAATATATATATACACACACGTCTGTATTACTTCATGTACATAAGTTATTATAAATATGTTCAGCCCTGCCTGGTGTGGCTCAGTTGGTTGGAGCATTGCCCCATAAACTGGAAGTTTGTAGGTTTGATCTCTGGTCAGGATACATGCCTAGGTTGCAGATTTTGTCACTAGTTGGGTCCATGCAGGAGGCAACTCATCAATATTTCTCTCTCACATTGATACTTTTCTCCCTCCCTTCCCCTCTCTCTAAAACTGGTAAGCATGTGCTCAGGTAAGGATTAAAAAATGTTCATATTTTGGGATTAGATATTTTAACCCACCAAATGGACTGTAAGTTCCTGGAAGGAAAAAGGAAAAAGACTGTGACATTCCTTTCTTGGAACATCAGTTCCTAGGAAGGTATATTTCTCAGTAAATGTTGGATATTCATGATCAAAGCTGAAAAGCACCTATGAGTGTTGTTACTTAAAACTACTGAGAGCAAAGATCCCCATGATGCACTCTACTGTTTCAGAAAGGATACAATGATTTTATAGAAAAATGAAGGCAAGATCGTATTGGGATCCTGTGTATCTCTTCAGGCAGATCGGTGGCCCTTTTCCTAGGGAGATGCCTAGCAGGCTTCATGTAAGAGGTTACCCAAATAACCAAACACTCCACTCAAACATTGCACTTATACAGCTCATTAAGAAAAATTTTTATACTTTTGACACTCATTACACTCATAATCGTCCACTGAAGTTACTCTATAACAAGAGATAAACACTCTATTCTAGAGGATGAATAATAATTAGGTACTGCTCAGCACTATGCTCTTTACAGGTCTAATTTTAGAGCATAATTAATCCTGCTGAAACTGCATAAGATAAGTGAAATATTTATGCAGCTGTGTTAATGCATGTATTTACTCCTAGAGAGACATTCAGAATTGGACATGGCTTTCCATGAAGATTATGTTAAGATGCCCTCTGGAGCAACGTCATTTTCTCTCCAATGTCTTTGCCTCCAGATGGTCTCTAAAGATGAAGCTGAGAAGACACATTTCCCAAGCCCGACAGTCTGACCAGGAAAGCAATGAGCCAGAACATATTTATAAGAATTTAGATGCTCTGCTAGTACAAGAAACATGCCTCTGGCCTATCTAAATGCCTTTACTTTTTATTTTTTGTTTGCCAAAAAGAGGACATTTTCTGTTTTTTTCTGTGATACTGACTTGACTATGTTATCACCAATACAACACTAACTAAGGTATGTTAAACACGGAAGGAGTTGTGGATGGACAGTGATAATGATGATGATGAGGAAGAGGAGGAAGATGATGATGATGATGATGGTAGTGATGATGGCGATTATGGTAATGACAATGATGATGGTGATGATAATGGTGTTGGTGATGCTGATTATGGTGGTAGCAGTGATAATGATGGCAATGATAATGATGATGGTGATAGTAGTGGTGCTGGTGGTGATGATGTTGGTGGTGATATGTTAGCTAAGCTCTTTACATGCATCCTCACATTTCATCATTACACCAACTTTATCAGGTAAATATTTTTATACTCATTCACAGATGGGGCTAAGAAAATCACCTCCTTCACAGAATTATTTATAAATAGGACAATAGATTTGGTTTACATATACACTAAATTACTCCTTTCTAAAGGGTCTACAAATCTCAAATGTCTAATTAGCCAACTTCAAAAGATGCTTTAGAGAATTAAATGTAACAAGAGTCTTACATAATTGACCCCCTTCTAGAATAAGGTCCCTTAAATAGAGGCTTTGCCCCCTGACTAGGTAGGAGGCTTCCAAGCCCTCTGAGCTTCAGTTTTCTCCTCTGTGCAATGAGTGTAAACAATTCTTCACTTCATAAGGTTGTTATGAATATTAAATTAAAGAACACATGTAATGTATCCAGTATGATAATTGGCATATTCTATTACCTAAATATGTGCCTGTTTCATAACAGATTCTGCATGAGTGACAGCAATAGTAAGTAGGAGTAGAGTTAGAATTCATTATTTGACAGCTATCCATCATATTTAAAGTTTCCTGTCAAATGAAACACATCCCAACACTGATCATTCATCCATGTGCATATTTATTCATGAAATTCTTCATTGACCAGTTATCCATTATGTTCAGTATTTTGTGATGTTTACTACTGGAAATAAGATTCTTGTTTACTGAGTAGTTTGCCCCATGTAGAGTTGCTTAGGCAACCACTGTGGTAGATGGGACAATTAACCCCAATTTTTCAACTCTCTCTGTGTCCACACCCCTTGTCATATAACTCCAAAACTCCTCTCCTAAAAGGTTGAGTGTACTTTTGATTCCTTGACCTCGGGTTTGGTCATCTGATTTGCTTTAGGCAGAAGGGAGTCAACAGACATGAATGTGATGAAGCAGAGACTTGAAATGTGCATGGGCAGTAAGGTGTTCTTTTTTGTGACTCTGACTTAGACAAGAAAAGAGCCTCTCTTAGATAGCTGCTAATCTTCTCTTAGGTAGCCTGAGACCCAGAATAAAACATGGAGCAGAGACCACATAGCTTGCAAAGGGAGTAGAGTCACCATAACCATCATAGCCTGAGGCAGAGCTTTGACACCCAACCTGCACTCCCATGAGCAAAATAAATGCTTATTGTTGTATGCCTCTAATATTTCACAATTATAGCTGGCCAGCATAGCCACAAAGCACTATTTCACAGTGGAGAACATGGCTCATGATCTGAGGAAGGTACAAACAAATATCCTATAAGGAATTTAAAAATCAGATGTTATTATTTGGGAGTTAAATATAAAACACATTTATATTTCTTGGTAGGACTGTGAGAATCTAGGGTTCAATTCTGAAAGAAGAAAGAGGAGGAGAAACTGTAAGGAATTATGTACTTGGTTCAAATTCACATCAACCCTACATACTAACCTCTGCCCTTTTCAATGTATCTGGCCACAGTAGTCACCAGATTTTCCTCTTGTAGCTGTAGACAGGCATAGCATATTTTATAGCCACTCTGACTGTAGCCACCACTCATTCCTGAATACTGCTTCTGCCTATGTCTTGAGTGTCTGTACCCTACTCACACTTACTCAAATTTTCAGTGTTAACCTGCCATCTCTGCAGGCCTTGTTTTTCCTATCTCAGGGCTGTCAATTCAGAGTAAAATGAACCTGCCATCTCAGCCACAATAGGACTCTAAAAACAATGTCATTGAACGGGCTGTGGTGAGATCACCAATGAGGAGAAAGAGAAGGACAGACAGAAGGAAACATTGCTGGAGATAAAATTGACCCAATTAGCTCTGCAGTTTCATGGATGCCATAATCCCATTAGACTATGATCCCCTTGATAGTGGAAACTTTTTTTTTGCATGATATTAAGTCAAAAAGTAGACTGTACTTAAAAATCCATGAAATTTTTGCTCCCTATACCTTTTCTATAACTTGCTCCTCCTTCATGCTTCATGGGATAATAACAGGAGCTATTGTGTTAGCACAATATAGTCCCACATTTTATTCATTCATGATATGTCCAGGAAAGAGTCCTTGACCCAAAATGTGCCAAGAATTCTTCATCTGGAATTTGGAATTTAGAATAGACTAGACATGGGTACTTAATGTAAACTGGTTATGTAATGTCATCACTCTAGAGCAGAGTTTCACAGCTACAGTACTACTAACATTTGGGATCAGATAATTCTGTGTTTTGAGATATGGGGCATGGCTATCCTGGGCTTGTTAAGATACTTGCCAGCATCCCTCATCCTTGGCCTCTACCCTCTAGATGCCAGTAACAAACATACAATAAAAAATGTCTCCAGACATAGCCACGTGCCCCATTGGGCACAAAATCCTCCCCCGTCTTGAAAACCACTTCTGCAGAGAGAGGACCTATGAATTAATGCCACTGTGGCTCCCAGACTACCCTGGTTGCTGTTTTTCCTTTAAATCTACTTGCTCAACCCTTTCCAAAATTCACTGAGATGGACACTTCTGCATCCTTAAAATGGATTCCTTTAAAAAATGGATTCCTCTAAATGTAGCTATCTAACTGGCTCCATTAGAAAAAACCCAAAGAATCATGGTTTCATATGATAGGCACTCAGTAAATAATTTTTAGTGTTCAAGTTCATCACACAAAGATCTATTGGAAAGCCAATGAAGAAACAGAAAGTATAAGGGTCTCGAGTCCCCCAAAGCAGGGGGTCACCCAAGGTCTTACCATCACCCACAAACTGGAGGAGGGCCAGATCTATCTGCCTCTTCCAAGGGGAGCCCTTCTGGAGGGCAATTCCATAACCAGTGGTGGCAAAGATGTACCCACTCCCGATGGTCACCAGCTTGCAGCCTTCATCCCGCCCAGCCTTGTAATTCAAGACTGCTGCATCGTAGATGAAAGCATCCAGTTTCCTGCAATGACAAGAAATGAAGGAGTCACAGGAATGGTGGGATACTGTCTTGGGGCCCAATTCCCAAAGCCTGATACCACATCACACACTTTTCATGCTGGAGATGGTGACTCATGTCCAGTCCATCCTCTCATCATAAAGGGATCTATTTTTAATGAGGAGATAAAAGCCAGAACCTTTTCTCTCCAAGTTACAAGAGGCAGCTAAATAAAGACATGAGAATCCTTATGCCCAAGTGAGTAAACAGTTGAGTTTGCTGGTTTGTGAAGTGTTGCCTTTAGCACTCCCAACAGTGGAGAACAGCGGCCTATTTAGAACAGTTGCATCAGAACAAAGTGAACTATTAAGGGGCAGGAGGGTTTGGTGGTAGCAGGCAGGAAGGGGAGAGGGACTAAATAAAAACAAGGTTTCTTCTTCCCAAGAGAAACATGCTTACTGTGTATTTATATTATAAAAATGATTACATAATAGTTTCTAGAACCCCAAATAATATAGAAAATATCAAGAATATAATTAAAATTAAGATTGTCCATAATTCCATAATTCAGAGGCAACCTCTGTTAGCGTATTGGTGAATAACCTTCCAAATGTATGCATGTGCACATATAGAGTCACAAACATATACACACATCTTTTAAAACAGGGATTAGTAACTTTCCTGTAAAGGTAAGATAATACATAGTTTAGGCTTTGTGGGCTAGATGGTCTTTATTGAAACTACTCAACTCTCCTGTTGTAACATGTTATGGCCTGAATTATGTTCCTCTCCCCAAAATTCATATGTTGAAGTCCTAACCTTCAGCACCTCATAATATGATCCTATTTAAAGATAGGGTCATTGCAGGTGTTACTAGTTAAGATGAAGTCATACTGGAGTAGGGTGGGTACCATAAGGACAGGTGTCCTTATGAAAAAGGGGAAATTTGGCCACAGACACACAGGAGAACACCATGTGAGGGTTGGAGTGATGCTGCCATAAGCCTAGGAATCACCAGAGGCCAGGAGAGAGGCTGGAACAGACCCCTCCCTAGAGCCTTCAGAGGGAGCACGGCCCTGTCAACACCTGGATCTCAGACTCCCAGGCTCCAGGACTATGAGACAAATAATCTTGTTGTTTAACCCTCTCAGTTTGTGGTACATCTTATGGGAGCCCTAGGGACTAACACACAGCATGGAAGCGGCCGTAGATAATATATAAATGAATGAACTCAGCTCTGTTCTAGTAAAAGGCTATTTACAACAACAGATTGGCCCATGGGCCATTGGCTGCCAACCTTTGTTTTAACCCCCTAAATATGATTATACCATGCAAACTATTTCACAAATTGCTTTTCTTTCTCATTTCACACCACACATAGTGAACATGTTTCATATCAATACACATAGTACTTTTTCAGATACATTTATTTTTATTGAAGTATAACTTATATATAATAAAGTGTTAGATAAAATTTGACATATGTACACATCCTTGAAATCACCATGCAGATCAAGGTATAGAACATTTTCATTGTCCTAGAAGTTCTGCTTGCCCCTCCCATTCAGCATCCTCCAAAAGGTGAGCACCATGTAACCCCCTCAATGTCATTCCTGTGCCTCACTCATTACCTAGATTCCTTTTAGCAAGTGTGCATATTGTTTCCAATTTTTAAAGTTATTTAACAAGGCTGGAATTATCACCCTTGAATATGGGGATGAATACTCAATTCTAAAGTAGGTAGGAAAGTGAAATCGGAAATCACTCAACTTCCTGGCACTTTCTCAACTTTACTTCCTTTCTTTCTTTAACAAGAAAACATAAAACAATAAAGCAAAGAACAATTAAAGTGGCAGGGAGTGAATATAAATGCTGCATCCTTTCAGAGACAGCTGCTGAGGACTCCCTGGGGGAACAGGACTGTTTGGAAGGTTTACAGCTGCATTCTACATTTTAACTTTTTGTTTCTATAATGGTTAGAGATGGGGCAAGACTACAAGGTAGTCTCACCAATAGAAAGATCCTGAAGCTTTTATCCAAGGCTGCAGGATTTGTTTTATACTCTGAGAGTACTCAAAGGGGATCAGATCATCCAAACAGAAATGGAAGAAAATGGCATTATCAATGGTGATGGTGAACCAGCAGTGACAAACCAAGGAAAAAAAGCCTTTCTGCACAGTGAGCAATACTGAGACCTGTGGATATAAGGGATGGGGAGTTTTAAGAGATTAGTTTGTGTGTGGTGGTTGTAGGGGGCATGACTGGAGCAATGGACCAGCAGGTAGAAGAGAGCTGAGTTCTAGTCCAGATTCAGATCATGGTGTATCCTTAGGAAAGTCACTTCCTTCTTTGGTATGGTCAGTGGTCCTGCTGAGAAACTCACCAAGCTTTGGCATCTTATAATGCTGCAAGCTAATAGTCACCTTTTGGCACTCTTTATAGGGAAGTTGAGGCTCTGGATAACATGTGTTTTCTGAAGACTTCAGGCCATGGGCCGCATCTGTCCTCTTGATTGAAGTGGGCTGTTTTGCAACATCCCTACTTCACATATGAAAGTTACCACAGAGACCTGGAGAACCTGGGTTATTTTAAAAATTTATAAGCCTCCTCAACTCTCTTCTCTCAATTCCTCAAAAAATAAACATAAATAATAAACATATGTGTGCACAGGTGCATTCAAGTGTTAAGAACATATGTTGGTATTCATGGGGTGAAGCTTTTCCCCATGTTTTTAACTCTCCACATGCTGTTGCATTTCTGGGATGGCAATCTAATACTGTATCTGGCAACCACAAGAGATGTGTCCAACAGTGGTTTAAAACATTAAGCACAGATATCAGCAATCATTGCTATATTTCATGATGAATCTTTTTTCAATAGAAAGGAAAATATTCCCATTGTTAAAAAGAAAAATTAAAAATTGCTGACATCTTCACAAGTGGGCTTCGTGGCCAAAGTGTTTGAGCAAGCAGTGGATGATATCTGACCTTTGTGGGATGCTGGGAATAAAGGGAGGTTAAATAAATAAAATGTGTGCAATGACTGGCACATAGCAAATGCTCAAGAAACACGGATGCATCCAATCGAATTCAGACTTTACAGCAAAGGGGTTCACAACTCTTTTGCATTCTATGTGACAAATCCAGTCCTAAATATTTTATATCTGTTATTTCATGTCAGTTATTCCTTCATACTATGCATAGATTTATACACTACTGCCATCCCCATTGTGAACTGGGAACCTAAGTCACAGAGAGGTAAAGTGACTCTACACGACCACCCAGCTTGTAAGTGTCAGATCAGCATTTGGACTTAACACAGTCTTATACCAAAGGCCACAGAATAACCATTGCCACTATGTGATCCATAAGACTTGTGAAGTAAACTAAGGCAGCTCTATTACTTATGAAATTTGGACTGGGGGTTACAGCTATAAATCAAGATCAATGGTATGAAAAAGAAAGCAAGGATGAGACCAGAATAGAATTTTAAAAGATTTTAGTGGGTTGTTCATGTGTCCCTTTTCCAGCAGATGCATAGTTGTATAAGGTCTGCGGTTACCCCACAGAAAACATTTCTGGTCCATTCATTCAGGAGATGTTTAGATGTAGATGGCCATAGTTCCTTGTTGAAGCTAAAAGTAAGGATGAAGAAAAGACCATCTGAAAATGAAGCCCAGTTTAGACCAATAGCACTTGGGGATTGGAGTTGTGATTGCTGGAGGTGAAGGGATATATTAGGCTGCCACATGGTAATTGGAGGCTCTGGGTTTGCAACATCACAGAGATGAAAGGCTGGCACTGAGGGAAAGAGGCCCTCAGAACTTAGAGCAGTCAGCTGGAAGCATGAGGGCTCACAGGTAAGGAACCCAGTATGATTCTCTGCTCTGTATTTTCTTCTCCTGCTTTTCAAGAGGAAATCATCTTTGTTCCCACCTTCCCAGCTCCTGCTGAGGCCACATGGCTGTTACTGGCTAAGTGCTTCTCCTACTGGGCAGAGGAGGCTCAAAGATCAAGATCAGAGACCTATGATGGGGATAGAGCCCCTACCCAGCCCAATTCTGCTCCCTACAGAAGGCTGATCATTTCTCCAAACATTTGTGACAAATGAAACAACACCTGGGCTCCCCAGTGTGAGGGCTGAAACAGAACTGGAGCCTGAAATGAATGCTGTGTGGGTTTTGTGACATACCCATGGCCCTGCCCAGCATCACTAAGGCTGTGTGGTGCTGTCACTTCTCCCTGTCACTGGCAGTCCTCAAGAAAAGCAAATGATTAAAAATGGCAGTAATTCAGAATGAGAGGGGGGAAATAAGACAACCTTTCAGCAAATGTGCAACAAAGCAAACTAAGGAAGACTGTCACATGTACCCTGTGCCACTTTAACCTAGTGTCTTCTTGCCCAATTTTTAACAGCTTTGAAGAGCAGCTACAGCTTGCTGGAGTGTGTAGATCTGATCATGTTACTTCAGTCAGTCTTTCTTACACCTGCACGATGGCCTGAAAGTTCACTCTAGCCCCAAGACTACTTGTGTGCAAATCCGATTCCCCCAACATAAAGGAAGACCATGATCTTTTGAGAATGGGAACTGGTATTGTCAAGTGGCTTGATATTTCCTAATCAAAAGTTTCTGATTTTAGCTCTTCATCTCCTTATACATGTTTTCAGATGCTCTCTGGGGGTCTCAGCATATTTAAAGCCTAATTATATAGTTAAAGTTAATTATTCATTCATTAGCATCCAAGAAGCCTTTAACAAGACATTGACTTGTTCTGATGAATTAATGAAAGCTCCATGTATGTGTGTATGTGTTGGAGGTCTAAAGTGCTACTGAAAATTAAACATCTCTCTGATGATAACTGAATGTCATTTTTTTTAGGTCACATCAAAGCTTTTCTAGGTAGAGAAATATATCACCCAGCAATTTAGGCCAGTCAGCATGTCTAGACCACTGTGGAACCGTGGGTGGGGCTCAGAGCCACCTCTGTTGGCTCTATGAATGAGACCTAGTTCTGAGACCTTTT